ATGGAGTGAGAGAATATGGAGTGAGAGAATATGGAGTGAGAACATGGAGTGAGAGAATAGGGAGTAAGAGAATATAAGTAAGAAAACGTAGAGTGAGAGAAAATGGAGTGAGAGAATACGGAGTGAGAGAATGTTGAAGTGGGCGAGCAGCCAAAACATTCTACTGTTTACAGCCGGTGAACGCTAAGAAGAAGAAGAAGAAGACGAAAAAGACAAAGAAGAAGAACAACAACAATAAGAACAAGAACAAAGAAGAAGAACAAAAAGAACGCTGCTCTGAACAACAGAATAAGGAAACAAGAACAGAAGAAAAAGAAGAAAACGAAAAAGAAGAAAAGAAGAAGAATCAAAAACAATCTGTCCTGCAAGTCACAGGGGTAGTGGACTCGGAGACGATGTTATTGACACTGGAATATTATATACTAGTACATGATATCTGTGGAGAGACATGATATAACCTGGTCATAAGTTGTAACATCTGATAATCAAATTATATACTAGAACATGATATCAGTGGAGAGACATGATATAACCTGGTCATAAGTTGTGACATATGATAATCATATTATAAACTAGAACATGATATCAGTGGAGAGACATGATATAACCTGGTCATAAGTTGTAACATCTGATAATCAAATTATATACTAGAACATGATATCAGTGGAGAGACATGATATAACCTGGTCATAGGTTGTAACATCTGATAATCATATTATAAACTAGAACATGATTTCTGTGGAGAGACATACTAAGATATAACCTGGTCATAAGTTGTGACATCTGATAATCTAAATGGGAAAAGAGCAACGGAAAGAATTTTGAATATTCAAGTAAGACATCCTAGCACTTAGAACACTCCCATACCCGTTCTTTCCCAATGTTCAGCAGCAAGCGAAGATTTCCCATTTCGATGGTACAGGTACCCATCTGATTGTGTATCCTTTCCCTTGAGTGTTGAACATTGGCCAGATGCCCTGGTAACTCCTCGCAGCGTCATTCTCACCAGACCATAATTTGTTCCTTCGCACTGTTCACTCGCTCTTAAAATGCCCCCACAACATTTTAGCTTATCATACATCAGTGCACCAAGAGGCAAACCCCCTGTTTCCGCCAGAATTAATAATCTAATACACATAAAAAAGTACACTTTTTTAAAAGGATGAAAACAAATTTTATTTTGGTGCTGTTTTTGTATAATGTCGCCAAGAAGTAAAATCTACCAGTCAGACTAGAAGCGAAACCCCCTGTGTAATTAAAATACTAATAACAAAACAAACGAAAAGTTGTTGTTAATGGTAAAGTGGTAAAGTGTAAAAGGAACATATATCCTTTATCAGTTTTTTCAATATTTATTTAGTGGCTATCTCTCTCCTGTTGTGTTGTGTTTGGTAGGCTTATATCATTACGATGTCAGTGCAAGGCTTATCAGTTTAACCTAGGCACAGTTGAACAAGAGCAGTTGAGATGTTTAAGAATAGCACAGTAATTAAAATAATCAATATTGACCTCATTTATCCATGTTGCCAGATAATTACAAACTGGACCTTGTTGCCTGGTTGGAGAAGCAAAAAATAACACTAATTAAACTTTCAGAAATAACACACAAGTTTGCGTTTTTAGTTAGATGTGTGTTAAATTTATTGTTTATAAATGACAGTGGCGCAAAAAGTGCAAGAAGCAACGCAGAAAAAAATTGTAATTTTATTTCAAACACTGTGGATGTCGTAATCTGGTAGATAATACACATTAGCTGGCAACACATATAGCTAGATGGTGCAGCGGCTTGACAACACAGATGCCTAGATAGTGCACAGGTTTGACAACACAGATGCCTAGGTGGTGCACAGGCTTGACAACACAGATGCCTAGATAGTGCACAGGCTTGACAACACAGATGCCTAGATAGTGCACAGGTTTGACAAAACAGATGCCTAGGTGATGCACAGGCTTGACAACACAGATGCCTAGGTGATGCACAGGCTTTACAACACAGATGACTAAATAGTGCACATGTTTGACACAAAGATGGCTAGACAGTGCACAGGTTTGACACCAAAGGTGACAATATAGTTTATAGACTTTACAATAGAGATGGCTAGATAGTTCACAGGTTTGACACCACAGATGCCTAGATAGTTCAGAGGTTTAACACAACAAATGGTTAAACAGTGCACAGGTTTGACACAAAACAGATGACTAGATAGTGCACAGGTTTTACACCACAGATGACGGTGATTTGACCTGATTGTCTTCTGAGATTTAAAAAATCATATCAACTGCGATCCTTAATACCATCTGTGTGCGTAAACTCGTCACATGTGTTACAGCTTCTGTAACCCGTAGCAAACAGCCAACACACTGAGAAGACAACATCACAACACCATAAATGGCTAGACAGTGCACAGGTTTGACACCACAGATGCCTAGATGGTGCAGAGGTTCGACAACACAAAAGGCTGCGCTAGATTTCTAATTGCAAATGAATTATTTTTTTCTAAAACTAAATAGGCTCCACAGTTCAATCAGCTGATCTCCCTTAATTTCTCTTGTACCCAATGTGCCTTGTTGTCAGGTTCCAAATTTTAGTCCTGAGTATACAAGGCAGTTCTAAAGTTCATGCTCGGCTGTTTGTTTGTCTGCAGTCACAAATAGCAGAAGTGAAATTAAAATATGAAACAGAATAGGATTGTACAATGATGATTTCAAAATTCAATAAAATATTGAAATCCAGAGAGATAAACAACACACTGAAAATGAGAATTATCAACAGTTATTTTAATGTGTTTTTCACATTTGGGCAGTTTCTACGTCAGTACTATTTACCCGGCTTGTTTCTTAGCTGTTGGCGTCTGTGAGATAGGCTTTGCGAACACGCTTTGTAATGCCGGGGTGTCGAGTTTGATCTCAGCTGTCGGAAATTTGGCAGCAGACCGTCTTGCACTGGTTTCGACACTGGTACCGAGAGCTGACCGTTCAGGATTTGGTAATCTAGTGAACCTAACATTTGCCTAGAAAACCACAACAGTCAAAACATGCTAAAGTGGGTTTTAAAACGTCCTGTAAAAGATGCGAAACTGTGTTTGTAAGCTTGGAGAATACAAGGAGAGCTTTACTGAAATGGGGGGGGGGGGGGGGGGGGGGGGGGGGGGGGGGGGGGGAGGGGGGGGGGGGACCCAATGCCTCCTCAACAAGCCTGTCGTAGGGGACTTCTTTCGAAGTCGAAGTGCATATGTCCGAGCAGTAAAGAACAATAACCTCAAACAAATAAGCTAAAAACAGATGTACACGCAAAACCCAAATCCTGTTACTAAGCAAAAGTCTAAACGGACGAACAAACATGACTTTTAGTCAGAGCTAACAGCCGGTGAACAAAGAAAAAGAAGAAGATGATACTGTGGGTGGAGAGGAAAACCACACGCCAATTTTATTTCTGTAGATGGAAACCCTTCATATGAAAAAACAATGACTTTAATGCGTTAGTATTAGTTATGAGAGTCGACACTCCCTGGAGTTTTCCATAGAATTCTATAACTAAATAACAACTCATCATCATCAGGTGCCTTGCCGTTCAGTTCACGATGGCAATTTTACTCAGATCCATAGGAATCGTCGCCGAAGCTACAGAGCTCGTCTTAGTGCGATGCTCTCGGGAGGCGTCTAGCCGCTCTACGGATAAGGATCGAGCCATATAGGATAAAACCCGGTGCAATAAAGTAGATCCTTATGAGAGAAGTATTTAACTATTTATTAACGTTCTTTGGCTGTAAACTCTGGTAAAAGGTAAAGGACCATTTTTTTTTTTGCACCTTCGGGCGTATTGAGCTAGAACTATGTTTTATATACCAAACGGTACTTGGTAGGTGATGTGGTCAGCATCATGCAGGCCGTCTTTACTTTACAGGACTGTAGCTGGTATCCATCCACTCAAGGATAGGTCTAGAAAGGTCATTTCTGTCAAAAGTCTGGCACCTGTCAGGCGAGCGTCTAGCCGCTAGACCACAGCAACTCCCGAGTAAACTGGTGGAAACTGGTTATTGGTCATGACTCTCCACAATCTGCGATCTCCTGCAGCATGTATCAGTTCGTGTGCCATCACTGCTCCATGCCATGCAACAAGACTGTCAAGAATCTTCTCTCGTTGTCTTCCTCTGTCAATCTTTCCACAGATCTTTTCAGTGGTCACAACATGTTCTATTTTCCCTCTTCTCATAACATGGTGGAAAAGTGATGACTGTCTCCTTCTGATGTCTATGATAAGTTGTCTTTGAGCTCCCGCCTCTTTCAAAACTTCTTGGTTGTTCAAGAAAATGTTTGGTCTGCAATTAAATTAAAATCACGCATTTTATAATACTGATTCTGTTACTTGTTGAAAGCTTATAGTTGTAAACATAGACCAATACTCTAAATACATGATAAACGAATGAGGTTCCATTGTGACCAAAAAATTGTAAAGGAAAGTGAACATGAGAAAATTTTAAATAACATAATTAAATGAAAAAGAAAAAAAAAATAGAAAAAAAAAAAAAAAAAAAAAAAAACGACAACAAAAGGTAATGAAAAACAGAGAAATCAGTGCAGATGCTACAGAGGTCTTCCAACTTATACATCGACATCAAGAGGTTGTCGAGGTGCTGTTTCTTTACATCACCAGAGACAGAAAGTCTTGGAGATATATTGCAGGCAGTCCGAACCGTTGTCTGTTGATTTATTGTATAGTAATGTTAAAGGCATTTGCTTACTGGATTCTCGTTTCAGAATTAAATATTCTTAATTTTTTTTTTTCAGACAAGTTTTACCAAGATCAGCTACATTTTCGTTCGAACATTCACCTGTGTTGAGAACAGCCAACTGAGCCTTAATTCCAAGGGGTGTAGACCCTTCTGGTGCTCTGTTCAATTCCTGTTGCCTTGACCTTTGAAGGATACATGATTTTATGGCAACATTCATTGTTTAGATAGACGGTTCTGGAAACTGGCTGATTCAGTGACCTAGAGACAATGTCTGCCAACTGCTGTCTGCGATCCCTGCTGACATTGCTGCATGGACTGATTGGTCTAGGGACAGGATTCTTCTGTTTGTATTCGCTCATTGGCTGGAGTTTTGATACAACTTGTCTGCCAAAAATGATAGATGCATCTGGAAACCTGCTAATTTTTGTAAGTCAAATATCTGTGTCAACCTTTTAATCACCACCATTTCAATCAACTTCATTATCAGTATTATTATAATTAGAATTATCACCAAGAATGCCAATATTTGGGCCTGGCAGAGGGAAAGTAATAGATACGCCTACAACAATTAATAGATCATGCTACTAAACAAAACTATAAGTGTTCTGTTAAATTAGAGGCATGGCCATATTCATAATAATCATACATCAATCAGTCATCTCCTTGTGAGATGCAATTTTTCGTTATTTGAAGCCCCACCTGACTCTTGCCAGGGGCCGCAATACAGCCCGTCCATAAATATGGTCTAATGGTTGAACGCTGTTTCTGGGACCTCTCCACGGTGATCCTCATCCACATAGTGGCACTTTGTGTCATTGGGTGTTTATCGCTTGTGTGATGTCCTAGTGGGGTAAAAATTTACTACCACTAATATTCATAATGTCATATTCCCAATAATAAGGGACATACTAGTGCTGGCAGCAACAACAACAAAAAAAAAGTTAAATCACTGGATAGTCATATTCATAATGTCATATTCCCAATAATTAGGGTAATACCACCAGCACAGCTTTATCTAAAATATTTAGAGTTACGACCCTTGTCTTCCACATCTTTTTTCTGGCAAGTATTAATTTACTATACTCACATTTACACAAGAGCAAGTAATAATTTACTATATTCACATTTACGCGAGAGCAAGTATTAATTTACTATATTCACATTTACGCGAGAGCAAGTATTAATTTACTATATTCACATTTACGCGAGAGCAAGTATTAATTTACTATATTCACATTTACGCGAGAGCAAGTATTAATTTACTATATTCACATTTACACGAGAGCAAGTATTAATATTCTATGTTTACATTTACTCGAGAGCAAGTAATAATTTACTATATTCACATTTACACTAGAGCAAGTATTAATTTACTATATTCACATTTACTCGAGAGCTAGTATTAAATTACTATATTCACATTTAGACGAGAGCTTCACCTGGCCAGACAACTATGTGAAATTCTCTTCGAGAGAATTAGTTAAGCCATTCGCTGTGTTCTTGTTTGTAAATGTAAATGTGTCTGTTTATGTCATGCCCTGATGAAGCCAGAATGTTCACTTGTCGTTCATAACTGCGATTATGTGAAGCCGACTAGGCCTAGCTAACTTTTGTTTTGATATCTTTACAGTAATATTGTATAGTGCGTTTTTTTATGACACTATGTATAGCCATAACCTAATAAACATCGTAGAGCCATACCCCTACAATCACAATACTGTCATATACCGAGTAACATTAAATAACTATATCCTTACAAAACACCAATGCGTATTGCATAACATATTGCAGGTATCATCATGTAGTATAAAACACACCCACACACAAACATAGCTATATTCCAAATAGCATAAAAAAGCCATTTCCTCAAAAACCTTAAACAGCGATGTCCCATTTTCCCGTACGAGTTGAGCTGATTCAAGAACCGACATCACAGCACTCTGGGCATTCCCATAAACGCTCCGTCTCCATCTTCAGCAGCCAGTGAAGAGTTCCGACACTAATGGTGCCAGTGCATTCTGATTAAACGTTCGTCTTGCCTTTCCTCTGAACCTCGAGCATCTGCCAGAACTTCTCGTCACTCGCCCCTGCATCAATCTCACCAGACTGTGGTGATTTATCTGCTCCTCCGAACTGTACATGCTCTACCACAAGGCACTAAACACGTCTGCCTTATCATGCATTAGTATTGTGATAGTAGGGGTATGGCTATACGATGTTTATTACGTTAAGGCTATACCTAGTGTTGTGTGTTGTAGAAAAAAAAAAAGCACACTATTCAATGAAGTTTGTTCAGTATTTCCCCAAGTTTTGCAGAGCCAGCCAGTCTGTCTCCCTGTTCATTTCCAAACACACCATGTATCGCGGTTTTTTTCCCCATCAGTAACGCAACGAATGGTCGTCACACTGTAACCTGCATTACATATGGTAGTAGGCATCTAATAAGGGCTGGCTTTGTCCTATCCTGGCTGCTACCTGCAGGTTAAGCTTACAATCCTAAGAATGAAAAATCTTAGTGTGGACAGGAGACCAACAGGGTAGATCCCAGACATCCCGTTCAACCTCTAAAGACGTTATATTTAGGACGCCCATAACGGCTACATCGGTAACCTGCAGTTGGCTGGCTTACGACTGACTACCTCACGTTTGTAGAAAACTTACACAGCAAAATCCTGCTAATTAAAACACCTCTACACAGATTATCGTCAGTTAGATTGGGGCTTGTTCGCCTTGGGAGAAAACTTGCGAAGAAAAAGAAGAAGAAAAAGAAGAAGAAGAAGAAGAAGAAGAAGAAGAAGAAGAAGAAGAAGAAGAAGAAGAAGAAGAAGAAGAAGAAGAAGAAGAAGAAGAAGAAGAAGAAGAAGAAGAAGAAGAAGAAGAAGAAGAAGAAAAAGAAGAAGACGGAGAAGGGGGAGAAGGAGGAGGAGGATGAGAAGAAGAAGAAGAAGAAGAAGAAGAAGAAGAAGAAGAAGAAGAAGAAGAAGAAGAAGAAGAAGAAGAAGAAGAAGAAGAAGAAGAAGAAGAAGAAGAAGAAGAAAAAATAGGAAGAAGAAGAAGAAGAAGAAGAAGAAGAAGACGAAGAAGAAGAAGAAGAAGAAGAAGAAGAAGAAGAAGACGAATAAGGAGAAGAAAAAGAAGGAGAAAGAGAAGATGAATTAGAAGAAGACGAGTAAGTATAGGAAGAAAAAGAAGAAGAAGAAGAAGAAGAAGAAGAAGAAGAAGAAGAAGAAGAAGAAGAAGAAGAAGAAGAAGAAGAAGAAGATTATAGTGGGCTAAAGCAAAGAGTGGTGCGTGCGCTGGCTTTGCAATGCATGCTAAATAATTCAGTTCTGTTGCCCTTTCCATCAGGGTTAGCCAAGGGTAGTCTTTCTTTCTTTCTTTGCGTTCACCAGCTGTAAACTATTGTGGAAAGTTCTAGTTGTTCATCCACTTCTGGATTGTAGTCCTGTTCCAGAATCTGAGTGTTGCGTGTGCATCCGTTTTACAGATCTTACACATTTGTGTGCAGACTGTTGATTCCTTGCCTCTCAGGCAGATGCACTCCGACTTCAAAGGAAGCTCCCAATTAGTCGACTCTTACGACATGCTTTTAGGTAGGCAGAGGGTCTATTTTTGTTTTCCCTATAATAGGGCCCCATAACCCAGACAGGGAGTAGAAACTGATAGTCTATAGATGATAGTTGTGTGAGACTCATTCTCATATTTGCAGACCTTACATTTCGCAATGGCAATAGGTAACAGGACTAAATTGATAAAAACTATACAATTAAATTATGTAAGAATTATGTTTGTTGGGCAGTGAGCACCTTGAAATAAAACCTTGCAATCTCCTCTCAATGTTTCAGAAGAATGGACTGCCGGTGATTTGTGATGGCTTGGTCTACGGAATGGCTGTCGTCTGTGTTATTAACTTTGCAATGTGTCTAATCATTAACTGGTTGTGGCCTAATGTCTGGTGAGTTATGTTATGTGGTGAGATATATTGTGGGGAGATATGTTGTGGGGAGATATGTTGTGGGGAGATATGTTGTGGGGAGATATGTTGTGGGGAGATATGTTGTGGCGAGACATGTTGTAGGGAGATATGTTGTGGGGAGATATGTTGATGTGGTGAGATATATTGTTGTGGTGAGTTATGTTATGTGGTGAGATATGTTGTGGGGAGATATGTTGATGTGGTGAGATATATTGTTGTGGTGAGTTATGTTGTGGCATGACATGTTGATTTGGTGAGATATGTTGTGGTGAGATATGTTGTGGTGAGATATGTTGTGGTGAGACATGTTTTGGTGAGACATGTTCTTGTGGTGAGATATGTTGCTGTGGTGAGATTTTTCGTTGTGGTGAGATATGTTGTGACAAGATATTTTGTTGCGGTGAGTTATGTTGTATTGGTGCATATATTGCTGTGGAGAGTTATTTTGATGTGGTGAGTTATGTTGTTGGAGTGAATTATGTAGTTGTGGTGAGTTATGTTGTTGTGGTGAATTATGTAGTTGTGGTGAGTTATGTTGTTGGAGTGAATTATGTAGTTGTGGTGAGTTATGTTGTTGTGGTGAATTATGTAGTTGTGGTGAGTTATTCTTTTGTGGTAAGATATGTTTCTCAGGAGAGTTATGTTGTGCAATTGTGGCTTCCGTGGGATTATCTGCAGTGTAATATAAATTAAAGCAGTAGTGTTGGGAGAACTATTGCAGTGCTGTGGTTCAGTAGCATTTATGCTAGCCTGCTAGCAGTGTAGTAATATGTTTGTATCCTCTATGAGACAGACTTGTGATGTTTGCCTGGTCTTCAGGATCAACCCATCCTACATAAAAAGCAAGTCAATGACCTCTCTAAATCAGTGGCACACTTGATATATGATGCTAAAATCATATATTTATATACCTGTATTCACTCATTGGGTGATTTTGTCATCATGTCCTCCACCTTTACTTCCCAGGACCGTGCATGGTACCTATTTCATGTTTTTTGGACGGTCAGACAAAGTCAGTTTGTTTTAAATTGCACTCTGCACGTGATTTAAACCCAGTAGCCACTATGCTACCACACCTTCAATTCAGTTAATAAGAGTCTATAAATAAATAAAATATTAAACAAAACAAAGTGTAATGAAAACAACTTTTCTTTACATAATACTCTCTATCTCAATGTGTCCTTCACTGCTGAAGCGCTCGGGTAAGCACATGTGGAGTTATCCTTATAATTTCGTTGGTCATATGTTTATTTTGAGTATGTATGGAAACGTATGGGACACCCTGGATAGCGGACAGCAAACATGATATTTATTACATCACCTATTAAGTGTGTTGTGTATAAAATATGGAGTTATCATCATCTATCTAGTGTGCCTCACGCCGAAGGAAAGGTCTTCTTTCTTATTTGTCAGCATTCCGAGCCCTTGAGGTTCATTTCAGCAGATATCACCCACCTCCATTGATCTCTCTAGTTGGCATTCTCTTTCCAGTTGGTGACACCATGTATTTGCAGGTCTGTCTGTATATTGTCTCTCTCCTTCGTCTTCTTGGTCTGCCTCTTGATCCACGACCATTTAGTCCCCTTGAATATACAGTTTCTACCTCTCTGTCATCTGACATTCTCTCGATATGCTCAGTTAAAATTCAGTCCATTAGCGCTCAATGGTTATTAGAACAAATTATCTTTACTTATCTCCCTTTTTTAACAGACTGAATGTGTAAGATGTTTGACGCACTCTGAATGTTGCGTTTCACAAACTACATAATTCAGCTTAAGCCTGCAATTTGTGCAGAAATCCATGGGGATTGTTGCTGAGCTAAGTAGTTCACCCTTTGTGTGACACCCTATACAGGTGGCTAGCCATTCTGCAGAGACAGAGCGAGAGAGTGTGAACGAATGAACCTTATTTTTAAAGAGTTACAAATTAGGCACGCAGGCCCGTCTTACCTTCGGCGCTTTTAAGTAGTCATCTTTAAGATCACAAGTGCCGGTTATTATTATTGCATACTCTGTTCGAGAGAGAGATAGAGATAGAGAGAGAGAGAGAGAAAGAGAGAGACAGAGAGAGAGAGAGAGAGAGAGAGAGAGAGAGAAAGAGAGAGGGAGAGAGAGAGATAGAGGAGAGAGAGAAAGTGCTATTGGAGAAAAAACTCGTTGATGTGAACACAAACTACAGTTTATTTTTTTTACACGTCTTGCAAGTGCTAAAACCACTAAAATATCACTACTTTGTACGACACTTGTCTGTATTCTTCAGTGTTGCCTTCATCAATTTGCTGCTGACTGTGATTTACATCTCCTTTGCTGTTATGGGAGGCACCACCATTGCCATCTATTACATCGTCTGGTGCGACACCTTGGAGAGAAGATTTCCTGACTCACATGGGTAAGTTCAAGTAATGTATCAAGGCTTCCTTCCCTCCCGCGATCTATGAGAACAAGATCTGGCACGTCAAACCCAAGAAATCTTTGAGATGGAACAGATGGAAGCAAGAAGGAAATCACTCAACCCCCTTATAATCGTTTAGAGCGCGGAGGTAAAGGGGCTTAGGTCTTGCTGACGTACATAGTAATAATATTTATTATTATTATTATTTTTGGTGCTGAATTGCAAAAATTGAAATATAATACTATAATTAAAATAATATGAAATATATTAACAAATACTTTAAAAGACTTCTGTACTTAACTTTGTGGACATCACTTAAACCTCCAGCAAATTTACATTGGGTGGGAGTTCCACCTCCATAACGTTTATTTTGAAAAGGGTCAAACGGGGGGGGGGGGGGGGGGGGGGGAGTGGGGGGATCTTGATTCTCCTCAAACAATTGGGTTTTCTTCGGATTGGGGGGGGGGGGGGGGGTGCTTGTCCGCAAGTTTCGGCAACCATGAACTAAACTAAACTTGGACATCTTATTAACTAGTTGTCAAATACATTATCATCAAGTACCTTGCCGACTTTAAAGAAAACGAAAATAATGTCCACAGATAAAACTGGCTGTCACCCAAAAATAACAATAAATGATGAAGAAATTTAAAACGTCACAAACTTTGAATATCTAGGCTCTATAATAAACAACAATAGAGACTGTTCGACAGAAATTAAAAGGAGGATGGTCATAGCAATGCAAAGATGGAACAGCCTTAAAAGTCTATTGTTAAGTATCAGCAAGGAGATAAAAATTAGAATTTAGAGAGCATGCATCGTCCCTGTGGCTACATACGGATATGAGTCGTGGACTATCTCTCAGTCCTTAAGAAAGAGAATTGGGGCTTTTGAGCTGAAATGGTATAGAAAGATTCTCAGAATATCTTGGACAAAGAAGATGAGAAATATTGACATCTTAAAAGATCTTAACATCAAGGAAGATTGGCTAATAAACAGAATCCTTTCTCGAAAGCTGAAATATTTTGGTCATATCAAGCGCCAAGACGGATTGCAAAACAATATAGCAGAAGGCAAGGTACCAGGAAGGAGGGGCAGGGGCCGACCGACACGAAGATGGGCACAGGATATAGGTGCCTCCTTGAGTGTGAAAGTTCATGAGGCGGGAGAACTGGCAAGAGACCGAGTTTCTTTCAGGCAGATTGTGAACTGAGCGACGTTCTGCAAAGGACCTGCTACGTGATGAGATGACCTTGCCGACTTGCGTGGGCTATCATGCCTCTCCACAATCTGCGATCCGCAACTGCGTCTGTCAGTTCGGGTGCCGACAACCTCCATATCATGAAAAATGGCGGTCAAGAATCTTCTTGCCTTGTCTTCCTCTGTCTCTCTTTCCACTGATCTTTCCAGTGGTCACAACATGTTCTATTTTGCCCCTTCTCATAACGTGACCAAGCAATAATGACTGTTTCTAATATTTATGTTGTCAAATTACTAAAGGATAACCCCACACTTCGACCCTAAAATCAAAACCTCGTGTAGATATCATAGAGAGATACCAATGTATTGAAATTCATCTTATCGTCTTTCACAAATAGATAACAATGTACTGAAATTATTCTTCTTTGCGCACATCAATTGTAAACATTTTTTTGAAGCTTTTAGCTGTTTACAAACTTCTAGACTTTGTTCCAGAACTTGGTGTTTGCATGCCATCCGTTCAACAGATCTGGCTTTTTTATATGCAGACTATTGGTTTCTCGATTGTCAAGCAAATGCATTTTACCCCCTAAGGCAGCGGTTCTCTTTTTGGGTGGGGGGGGGGGGGGTGGGGCAAACGACCCTTTCACATGGGTCGAAAACGACCATCGGAAAACACAAATTCTTTGACGTTATGAAGGAAACAACATGAGCAAACTGTATTAAGGGGGCGCTGCATTAGAAATGTTGAGAGCAACTGCTCTAAGGGAACACTCTAATTAGTCCCATTTTACGACATGCTTGTTAGCGAGAAGCGGATCTATTCTCTCCCCCTATATATATATATATATATATATATATATATATATATATATATATATATATATATATGTGTGTGTGTGTGTGTGTGTGTGTGTGTGTGTGTGTGTTGTGAAATCATGTGTATGTACTTGTCTATTTTTATCTGTGCATTGAAATACTGACTAGGAAATGTTTTGTTTTTGTTGCAGCTGTCAGGATGCTGCAGAGAGGTATGACTCATACAACGCTACAGGAGAAATGAGTTTGTACAAAACACGTATGGAGGTCCAGATGGTATGTACATTCTCCTAACTATGATTGATAACAGTAGTGATCACATACATTTAAACACAGGAGACACAATCAATAGATTGTCTAGAATAGTATTCTGTATCCCGTCCGGTGCACACTCCAGTGACAATTAGATACATGAAGCAAATAAGTGAATCCTTTATAACTGAAGTACAAGTTCAGCTGCACGCAAAAGCAACTACGTGTTTTACCAGGGCAACCGCAAAAGAGGTAGTTTCTTTTAGTATGCTTGAATATGTACTTCAGTTTTAAAGTCTTTTTTTGTGTGTATGCTTTTCTATACTGTAGTCTTCACCTGATGAGATACAGCAAAATATGCCGGTCTTTAAATTAAATTGCCTAATCTATTGTGTGTGTCTTCTTTGTTCAAATTTACAAAGAGGAAACATTGATTTGATAATATAAACGTTTTCCCCGTGTGGGTTGCGGGGTTCCATTATAGATGTGAAGGAATTCACCTACTGTTCGATCCCTCTCCCCCCTCTCCCTCCCCACTCTCTCTCTCTCTCTCTCTCTCTCTCTCTCTCTCTCTCTCTCTCTCTCTCTCTCTATCCCAACAACGATGTCGTAAAAGACGACAGTTTAGGGGTGTTGCCTTTGAAGATGGCGTGCATCTAAGAGGCAAGGAAGCAACAGTTGCACACGTGGGTCTGCAGACAAATAATATATGTGTGTGTGTGTGTGTGTGTGTGTGTGTGTGTTTGTGTGAGTGTGCGTGATTGTGTGTTATTGGGCATGAATGTCTGTGTGTCTGTGTGTGTGTGTGTACGTGGTTGTGTATAATGCATACCATCCCCCTCTTCAACAACCCTCATTAGGAACTATAGTATCGTCCCAAGCCAGTAGGTTTAGTGCAATTATCATTTCTTAGCCAACAAAATTGGCACACACAAAACCAGACCACAGTAATAACCTATACTGCTCGCAGTAGATTGAACGTGGTCGATTTTTTAGTTTATTTTTCATAAATAGATAGATGGATCTGAATACGAATAAGTCAGATCTGTATGCAAGGAACAAGACTGAAGCCCAGAAGTGGGCGAACAACAATTACTTTCTGCAGGAGTTTACGGCCGGTGAAAGGAAATGAGAAGAAAAGATATACATATTTAAATTGTCAACTTTGGACCTTAACTTGGTAGATTAGAATTGTGTATGCGGTATGCACGAGCGTGTGTATATGTGTGTGTGTTTGTCGCACAGTGAGTGCTGGAACGATCAAACATGCATGTTCTAATGTATGCGTGTGTGTGTGTTTGTGTGTTTGTGTGTGTGTGTCTTTGTGTGACATATGTAAACGCTGGAACAATCATGCATGTGTGTTTTAAAGTACATATATGCACATGTGACGTTGTCAGTCTGTGTGTACGCGCATCAGTGTGTACGAGTGTCTGTGTGTAGGCGTGTCTGTGTAGTTGAAAAGGGAAGCGATTGTAATGCACCTCTGTATCCTTAACATAAAATACACAACATGTGACAGTCCGTATTGATAATTTATTTGTATTCTTTCTAGTTGTTGATATTTTGCTCACGTTGCAAATATTTTAAAGTCCTATTCTTCTGCCAATTTCAGTCTTCATATCAACACCATCTCTTATTGCCTCTCCAGAATAAGAGAAAGGTATTACTTCTTCTTGATTTCTGCATTTTCCTGTCCTGTTCATCGTTGGTTATCTCCTTTATATTGCTATTGTCATAATTTGTATTTTGAGTGAAGTTCAACACCACCAGGACTAATACAACGAGCGATAAACACCCGGTGACACAATGTGTCACCATTTAGGACAAGAATCCCCTGGCAAAAGTCCAAGAAACTTCATTCAATCCTTTGATTAAACTAGTGCTGCCGACGACAACCGGCGTTGAGTTTTTAGACAGTTGAATTTTAAATGTGTGTGTTTGTTTCCCTTACAGGTGAGCATATGGGCAGTGTTTCCAGTCATCGGTTTCACTATTATCTCCTATGCATTGATCATGCGTATCTTCGCTAAACCAGATGCCAGAGATGGGCGACTGAGATACGTCATCCTAGATGAGGAGGCCACGCCTCTCCTGAATCCTGACAATACAGAGGTCAACGAGAACATTTATTCTAATGACAATATAGCCAGTAGACGATCAGTGTCCAACAATCCTTTTGATAATTAAATTAAATAGTTATCGAATAAAGTATCACATATCATTTCATTGTGCTTGATAAATTTCACTTCACATATTTTGTAATGCTGGAAATAACATATGACGCATTTCCCTCTTTTCTTTGATTTACTATTCAAGATCATATCCCGTAATCCCCTTGTGGAATGCAATTTTTAGCTATTTTAAAGTCTACTGTGGCTTTTGCCAGGGGCCTTAAATATAGCCAAGCCAGAAATATTGCCTACGGCTGAACGGGGTTTGAGGATCTCTCCCTGGGTGATCCTCATCCGCATGGTGGCACTTTGTGTCACCCGGTGTTTATCGCTCAGCGTGCTTTCCTGGTGGGGAAAAAATGTACTTACTTACATACTTTCCTTTGAGTTTTGTTTCTCCTTTTGTTTGATGATGACAACCTGTCGCTGGTAGTTGTAATTTTGTTACACTGACATGTAGTGCAGATGATTAGATTCACTAGTGAAAAATACAGTTTACCCGATACATAAAATGTTTTAGATTGAAAATGTAATTATGATTGCTTGACGGCGTACCATAAAAGATTGATCAGTACATCAACAGTTCTGTACTTTGTGGTATATCTGGCTTATTATTCAGTTTATTATATTAGATTTTTCAACATTCTTTAAAATTATGAAGATGAATAATTAACTGACATTACACTTTACAAAAATGCCACAAAATTTTTTTAATTTTAAACAGTTTTTCCAGATTCTTTTACAGTGTCATCAATATTCAGTATTTTATTTATTGCAGTTTTATTATCATCTTGTGCCTTGCTAATTGGTACAGGCAATCACTTTTCTCCACATCCCTACCTACCAACATACTGTGTGCAATTTTATGAGCTGATATGACTGAAAAAAAAATCGTGTGTGCTGTTTTGATAATGAATTGACATTTATACATGTCTCAGAGACTGCATGCACTCACACGTGTACTAGACCTTGCAGGCACTCACACGTGTCCTAGAACTTGCAGGCACTCACACGTGTCCTAGACCTTGCAGGTACTCACATGTGTCCTAGACCTTGCAGGTACTCACACACACGTGTCCTAGACCTTGCAGGTACTCACACGTGTCCTAGACCTTGCAGGCACTCACTCACACGTGTCCTAGACCTTGCAGGTACTCACTCACACGTGTCCTAGACCTTGTAGGCACTCACTCACACGTGTCCTTGACCTTGCAGGCACTCACACACGCCCCATACCTTGCAGGCACTCACACGTGCCTCAGACCTTGCATGCACTCACATGTGTCCTAGACCTTGCAGGCACTCACACGTGTCCTAGACCTTGCAGGCACTCACACGTGTCCTAGACCTTTCAGGCACTCACACGTGTCCTAGACCTTGCAGGTACTCACACACACGTGTCCTAGACCTTGCAGGCACTCACACGTGTCCTAGACCTTGTAGGCACTCACTCACACGTGTCCTAGACCTTGCAGGCACTCACTTACACGTGTCCTAGATCTTGCAGGCACTCACTCTCACGTGTCCTTGACCTTGCAGGCACTCACACACGCCCCATACCTTGCAGGCACTCACACGTGCCTCAGACCTTGCATGCACTCACATGTGTCCTAGACCTTGCAGGCACTTACACGTGTCCTAGACCTTGCAGGCACTCACACGTGCCCCAGACCTTGCAGGCACTCACACGTGTCCTAGACCTTGCAGGCAGTCACTCACACGTGTCCCAGACCTTGCAGGCACTCACACTTGTCCTAGATCTTGCAGGCACTCACACGTGTCCTAGACCTTGCAGGCACTCACACGTTCCCCATACCTTGCAGGCACTCACACGTGTCCTAGACCTTGCAGGCACTCACTCACACGTGTCCTAGACCTTGCAGGCACTCACACGTGTCCCAGACCTTGCAGGCACTCACACGTGCCCCAGACCTTGCAGGCACTCACACGTGTTCCATACCTTGCAGGCACTCACACGTTGCCTAGACCTTTCAGGCACTCACACGTGTCCTAGACCTTGCAGGCACTCACACGTGTCCTAGACCTTGCAGGCACTCACACGTGTCCCTTACCTTGCAGGCACTCACACCTGTCCCACACCTTGCATCTGTACAGCTCCTTCTCTTCCTGAAACCGAAATGTTTCTAATTTTCTGAGTCTCTAGTAGCGGTCGAGCTCTAAATTCCAATATGTTTGCAAATCTTTCCAATGTGGCTCAAGATGGAGATGCCGCTAAATGTTTCACTGTCTCGTTTGTCCCCTTTATTCTTCCAAAACGGGTCAGTGATCGATCTCTGCCAGTCTCTTAAAACATTCGGTTCCTTCCGAGACATGTTATAGATTCTGGTCAACCAAGCTGTAGTTGTTGTCTTACATGCAAGTATCATTTCTGTTGTAATACCATCTATTGCCGCTGCCTTGTTCTTTTTACCTTGTTTAAAGGAATTTTCAACTTCAGATTCCAGCATTTTTTAGTTCCTGGTCTTTTGCAAATATATTCTGGTGTGTTAGGTTTTTTTGTTTTTGTTTTGTTTTTACCCTAAGTGGTAAATACGTCAGAAAACACGTTTTTATTTTCTGGAATGTTTTCTGTGCGAATAATTTTATGGTAATGCTGTGTGTGCGCCCGAGTGCGTTTGTATGTGTGCACGTGCGTGCGTGTGTGTGTGTGTGCGTGTATGTGTGTGTGTGTGTGGGGGGGGGGGTTGTTGGTGGGTGGGTGTGTGTATGTGTGAAACTATGTGATATTTGTATCATTAAAAATGTGTAGTATCAAGGTTTTAAAGTCTACTTTGTTGATTAAAGGTGTCTTCTGTTATTAATATGGCTTAACATAGGGTTTTAAAGTCATCATCATGTATCATCATCTTATACTTTTAGCATCAAAAGTCTTAGAGGATGTGTCTGGTCTAGTACCCAGTTGGTAGTCTTTAATATCCTCACGCCATTTTTTTATTTTAGATACCTTTTATATTTTTTTTTTTAGGTATACTACCTTCACTGGTGTCCTGACTCTCTGTGACATCTACTTAGGGCTAAAACTTTGTCTGAATGAAACAAGACGTAAGTTGCAATGTAATGACAAAGTAATCATATAGACAATCCTGTGAGTGAGCTTACAACTGTTAATTGCAAACAACGTATCATGCTGTATGTATGTGATGTCACAATAAGTCTCAGACATTACCTTTCTTAAAAAACAATCACACAAAAACCGTAACACAAACCATCAGCTTAACTGTCAGGATATTTCTCTACGTCTTTCTGTATGCGTATGGCAAAACTGCCGTTTTTTTCCTGGGGGGGGGGGGGGGGGAGGGGGGGGGGGGAGAGGGGGGGGGGGGAAGAGGTGTCCGGGATTCCTAGTTATACTAGGCTGCGAATGTAAGGACTACCCAGCGGGCTCTGCAGGGTCAAAAGTTCTGCAAATGAGATATGCAATTACTCTGCAATAATGCGATTATCTGTACAAATGGCTCTGCGTTGAGAGGCAGACGAAGTGCACAAGAGCTCTTAGCAAACGTGAAAGAACGTCGCTTGGTGCAACAAAGCCTGGCATATGGTACGACATCATCTAGTTTCAGAATGGAGGTGCATGCGATCACCACAGCCTTCAGCTGACTTGACAACCAGCTGCACACACATGTGGTGATTTTAACTGACAACACAGAGCGTGGCTGAAAGGTTGAGACGGGTTGGCGCCTTTCGAAGAGGCCAGCATCGCTTCAGAGGTCTCAGGCAGTTGGCAGTCTTTGGATATTTTCTCCAGGGCGTGCCTGAGTATTGGGAAATGCACAGGCAGATATATTGAACTAGGCGCTACTTACTGGTATACTGGTGCATGACAGGCTAGGTGTCGTAATGGCCATTTGGTAGCAAGTAAACAGTGCAGAGCCACAAATGATCATTAGGGTGTGATGAGAATAGTGCTGTTAGGAGTGACCAGGGGATCTGGCGGACGCTCACGGGCCTGCGTGCCCAATTCTTAACCCTTTAAAAAAAAAGTTTGTTCGTTCGTTCGTTCGTTCGTTCGAAGAGAAGCAATGAACATACAATAAGACTGTTACTGGTACCACTGGAATTGGAACTCTAGGCTTGCTGCCGAAAATGGGAAAGGATCGCTTAAGAGAAAGTCTAGCGCTACTTCTAACACCCGCAGAAACCGTGCGTGCGTTTGTGAATGGAGTATTCCCAAATGAAATGAGGAATAATGGTGTTTACTTGTAAAATATAGTACTGTTAAAGCTGGTCACTGATATTGTCGCATTCTGAGATGTCTAAAATATTTGATATTCAGATTTTCAGTCTATTTAACACAATGTGGGATTCTGACAATCTCTCCGATGGTATCATTTCCCACAAGTCTCTGATGAATTTAGTAGCACTAAATGTTACCCCCACTAGGACATCACACAAGCGATAAACACCCGATAACACAAAGCGCCACCATGTGGATGAGGATCACCAGTGGAGAGGTCCCGGAAACCGCGTTTAGCCATTAGACTATATTTAGATGTACTCTGACAAAAAGAGGAGAGAGCCTCTCAATGACAATCCAGAGATCCTTAGCGGCCTCAAGCAGTCTGAGTTGCCGAAGGTACCATTTAAAATGATACCTCCCCTTTGGTCTGAGGTTGAGGAAGTTGTGAAAAAGGCCAGCGGCAAGTCTGCCCCAGGTCCGAACGGTGTCCCGTACGTTCTTTACAAGCGTTGCCCCAAAATCCTAAAAATGCTTCACGTCTTGTTGAGACAAGCGTGGATCCGCAAACACATATGTCCAGAATGGCAAAAGGCGAATCGGGTCTACATTCCCAAAGAGCAGGACACGAAGAGTCTTTCCCAATTCAGGCCCATCTCGCTGTTGAATGTCGAGGGTAAGATATTCTTCTCGGTCATGGCTCGCCGGCTCACACAGTATCTGATGGCTAACAAGTACATAGATACGAGTGTTCAGAAGGGTGGTATTCCGGGCGTTCCTGGGTGCCTTGAACACGCGACCATGATTTGGGAGGCTAT